AGCTAATGTTTGCACCGCCACAGTCATCTGTGTGGTTGGGGAAGATTGCAAGCTCCAGAGGGCATGTTTGCGTAGCGAGGCGTCTCTTCGGGACCAAGGGAGGGAACAGACTTGCGAGTGATCCATATCCTCTTGGGATAAACCTCAGGAGCCAGATTCACGAAGCAGTTACGCAAGCACTTCCGAACCTGGGGCCAGATTCACGAAGCAGTTACGCAAGCACTTACGAACCTGGGGCCAGATTTACGAAGTAGTTACGCAAGCACTTACGAACCTGGGGCCAGGTTTACAAAGCAGTTACGCAAGCACTAACGAACCTGGGGCCAGGTTCGCGAAGTTACACAAGCACTTCCGAACGTGTACATCTTTCCTCAATCTTTGACGGTTTGGTTACATTTATTAAACAGTTTACAAGCATGAAAACTTGCCAATCAACTGTTGTTATTGTTATAAACAGCCTCCTGGTGCTTCGGAGCTCATTAACTGTTTAATATTGTAAACAAAGCCGCCAAAGACTGAGAAAAGATGAACAGGTTCGTAAGTGCTTGCGTGACTGCTTCGTGAATCTGGCCCCAGGTTCGTAAGTGCTTGCGCAACTCCTTCGTGAATCTGGCCCCAGGTTCGTAAGTGTTTGCGTAACTGCTTCGTGAATCTGGCCCAGGTTCGTAAGTGCTTGCGTAACTGCTTCGTGAATCTGGTCCCAGGTTCGTAAGTGCTTGCGTAACTGCTTCGTGAATCTGGCCCCAGGTTCGTAAGTGCTTGCGTAACTGCTTCGTGAATCTGGCCGCTGATGTTTTCTGACCCCTTTCCCTATACGAGGTATAGGGCGGGCAGGGGGAGTTGTGCCCATGGGCATCGAGGGAGGGGGGGGGGTAGGCGTGCCCTCCGGGTGTCGGAAAGGGGGGTAAGTGCCCCCCTCAAACCCCTATCACCAGTTCCCATTGGATGATGGACTTTTGATGAACAGATCTAATGGGTAGTTATCACTCGCTAATGGCCTCGTGCAGTGACCCTTCACGCCGAGGTCACCCCCCCCCCCACACCCTTCGTCCACCTGCATATCGAAGTCACTGACGAGGCGCTTGGACCCAACCTGGTCTTGGAGAGGTCTCATTTTCTCAAGAATTTTTTTTGAGAGTTTTTCTCATTCTTCATTTTTTCCTTCAGGGTTCCCCCCCCCCCCCGCCCTGCCCAACCACTTGGGCCGGACGGTACAGTGACAGTCTCGCTTCATGCAGGTCGGCGTTCAATCCCCGACCGTCCAGGTGGTTGGGTACCATTCCTTTCCCCGTCCCATCCCAAATCCTTATCCTGGCCCCTTCCCAGTGCTATATAGTCGTAATGGCTTGGCACTTTCCCCTGATAGTTTCCTTCCTAGTTCCCCCCCCCCCCCCCCCGTCCTTCAGAGCCCCCCCCCCCCTCGTTCAGAGTTCCCCCTTCAGTATCACCTTAGTTTATACTGTCAGAATTCCAAAGTTCTCGTCTTTCTCAATACTATCCTTAAGGTTAGTTTGTTTCCATGCGATGTTTATTTGTTTTTAAGTTGTCTATCTAGAGATGATTTCGGGGCTTAGCGTCCCCGCGGCCTGGTCCTTGACCAGGCCTCCTTTTTGTTACACATCCCCCAGGAAGCAGCCCGTAGCAGCTGTCTAACTCCCTGGTACCTATTGACTGCTAAGTCTAGATTTGGCAACAAGATTAACAGTAATAGAAACTATTGAAACCCGTAATTAAAGATGGCAATATAAAGATCTCAATGTTAATATTTGTGTTGATAGCGATGAAGAGCCATATATCATTTACAAGACACAACAAGTACAGTTACACACACAAATCACAATAGCGTGATGCATCAAATGAACAAATCGACAAGGGTCGTGATGAGGGTTCGAACCTGCGTCTGAGAGGATACCAGACGCGCAAGTGCAGTAGTTGGTGACGGAGGTCGCATGGAGAGACTGTCATGGAGGCTGTCAAGATGCGCAGTGCTTCTTGACAGCTGTCAGTTGACACCCACCTTCCTAATGGAGCGAGTTGTTGTTGTTATAGATTCAGCTACTCGGAACATGTTCCAAGTAGCACGGGCTATGGTGAGCCCGTAACTTACCTGGCACAGGAGCGGGGCAAGTAGCACGGACTATGGTGAGCCCGTAGTAGACTTACCTGGCACAGGAGCGGGGCAAGTAGCACGGACTATGGTGAGCCCGTAGTGGACTTACCTGGCACAGGAGCGGGGCAAGTAGCACGGACTATGGTGAGCCCGTAGTGGACTTACCTGGCACAGGAGCGGGGCAAGTAGCACGGGCTATGGTGAGCCCGTAGTGGACTTACCTGGCACAGGAGCGGGGCAAGTAGCACGGGCTATGGTGAGCCCGTAGTGGACTTACCTGGCACAGCCCGGTGTGGGGCAAGTAGCACGGACTATGGTGAGCCCGTAGTGGACTTACCTGGCACAGGAGCGGGGCAAGTAGCACGGGCTATGGTGAGCCCGTAGTGGACTTACCTGGCACAGGAGCGGGGCATTTTTTGTGCAATACGGTGTTTTAAATAGCAACATCTTTCAACACTGCAAGAGATTGCAAATATCTGGAAATTTTCTAGTGTTGCTTTGCCCTTTTTAATCTCAATGTTGAATGCCTTGGCTGCATACTAGAATGCGAGTCTCGCATAGGTTGTAACATAGCTACAGGCACCCCTGCCAGGCACTACCGCCCCCCCCTCCACCCCTGCCAGGCACTACCGCCCCCCCCTCCACCCCTGCCAGGCACTACCGCCCCCCCCCCCTCCACCCCTGCCAGGCACTACCGCCCCCCCCCTCCACCCCTGCCAGGCACTACCGCCCCCCCCCCCTCCACCCCTGCCAGGCACTACCGTCCCCCCCTCCACCCCTGCCAGGCACCACTGACCCGGATAGCGATGCCAAGTGACACAGATCTGCATGACAGAGGGGGAGGAGGGGGGGGGCGGGCGGGGGAAAGTGACGTAACGCAGATATTCTGTCATCTCCCCCCCCCTCCCCCCCCCTCACACACAACTTACACCACAGCCAATCTTCAAACACTCGCAAGGTCGAAACTCGTATCTCCTGGGAAGGCGCGTCTGGTCTTCGGTGTTGCTGCTCATCGCTTAGATTATTATTACTCTTAAATTGGGCCGATTGGGCTTCTGCGTCGTTGTTCCATTTGGCACGTCACTAGAGGCATCGTGGGCCCTCCTCACCCTACAACTCTGGCCCTGACGGCTGAGTGGACAGCGCCCGGGATTCGTAGGTCCAAGGTTCCGGGTTCGATCGCCGGTGGAGGCGGAAACAAATGGGGTAAGAGTTTCTTTCACCCTGATGGCCCCCTGTTCACCTAGCAGTAAATAGGTACCTGGGAGTTAGACAGCTGCTACGGGCTGCTTCTTGGGGGACGTGTAACAAAAAGGCGGCCTGGTCGAGGACCGGGCCGCTGGTCCCTGGTGTGGCCCCCAGGGTGCGTCACCCCTCCCAGGAAACCCTAGACGTGTGTTCTCGTCTCTGAAACCTGCTCTTGATTGTCCTCCTCTTCTTTGTTCCTCATTCTCTACCTTTGTTTTCCCTGTTCTCTCCCTCCATCTCCCTTCCTCCCCATTCTCTACCTTTGTTTTCCCTGTTCTCTCCCTCCACCTCCCTCACCCCGGTAACATATAATAAACTGCGTTTTTCTGAAATATAAATTATGATTACACAGAACTGACGCTGCGTCTTGGGGAAGGAACGCCGCTGAAGGAGCACAGCTACCGGCCTCCACTCAGTCACAGAAGCAACTGACTCTAGTCGATGTTGGTGTTGGGGTTGGAGGCAGCTATATAGCGTTGTGGGGGTTGAGGACGAGGGTTAGGGTGGAGGTGGAGAGGCAGCGAGTGTGGGGGAGGAAGGGGGTGGCAGGCGAGGCTGGTTCCATGAAGAACCTGGTTTGGCGGGAAATATGAGCGCGCCCCTGTCAGCAGTTTCTCTCCACCATTACTAAAGTGGTTCGTTACTTGGCCTAACATAGATAGTTTAATATCACACGCGTTGATTAATTTTCTCCATATATTGATATCATGCAATCTGTCCTAATAGAGCGTCGCATTTTGACCTATTACTCTACCTACGGGCAAAAACTGTCGTACTAAAAATTGAAAAAAATTCAAAATTCCAAGTTTATTCAGGTAAAGTACATACATACAAGGGGTGATACAAATATTGCTGAATTTATAGATAGAGCTAGTACATACAATGCCTAAAGCCACTATTACGCAAAGCGTTTCGGCCAGGAAACTAGAAAATGAAATGGCTGGCGAAATTGACACTGTATTGTTTTCTGTTTTGGGTCCTCTGGTAGGTTGGGATAAGGGGGCATTTTAGTACGACGGTTTCTTGACGTTGGGGAACCTTAGGAGGACGGACTGCATCGCGGGCAACTGACGCCACCATTGATCAGGTTGCAGAGTGCGCGAGCCGGGTGCATTCTTCACGCTGCTCAAGAAGCGTACACACACTATTCTTTCCCACAGTACTTGACGACAACTTTACATCTGGGAACTGATATTTGGGCATGTTCTTCCCTAATGTGATTGTGGTATCTTCGGTTGTTCTTAGTCCTGGAAGACATTATTCTCGTATTCTTTATTTCTGAATTCTTTCATTCAATAATTTCTTGTTTAGGTTTACATTTATTCTAATCTCTAATACTATCGTATTGGAGTTTGCCTTTCCATTGGAGACTTTCGGCACCCTGGAGAGTGGGCGGGGGAGTCACAATAACGTGGCTGAAGTATGTTGACCAAACCACACACTAGAAAGTTAAGGGACGACGGCGTTTCGGTCCGTCCTGGACCATTCTCAAGTCGATGAATTCTCAAGTCATCGACTTGAGAATGGTCCAGGACGGATCGAAACGTCGTCGTCCCTTCACCTTCTAGTGTGTGGTCTGGTCAACATTCCCTATCTTAGTGTGATAAAGTGAGGAGGAAGTGACGTTGTTTTTTTCCTGCAGGTGAAGATGGAGCCGCGACGGTTTGGTCTGCGTCCCGTGGCGCCCCGGAGCAGCCCTTCTTCAGCCAGTGGGCCAGTCACCCCCAGGACCCCACGGGTATGGCGCCCTAAGGGCCCCCAGCAGAGCCTCGGCAACCCCAGCAGGATACTGAAGAAGGAAGAGAAGGCGGAGTTGGTGAGGAAACTGACGCCCATGCAGTACCGGGTGACGCAGGAAAAGATGACTGAGAGGTGAGTGGGGAAGACTGTGCATTCTCTCGATAACATTTCGTAAGATATTTTCAGCAGATTCGAAGCAGCTGAGGTTACCTTGAGATGGTTTCGGAGCTTAGCGTCCCCGCGGTCCGGTCCTCGACCGGGCCTCCTCGTTGCTGGACTGATCAACCAGGCTGTTGGACGCGGCTGTTCGCAGCCTGAAGCTACAGGCAGGTGTTGTAGAACATTGCAATGGAAATGGGTGGACCAAACGCGCACCCCCCCCCCCCAACTTTCATTCAGCATGCCTGTACCTGGATTGAGGTTCACGGAGTTGTTTTATACTCCCCAAGCCCGGCTTTGGGTCAGGCTTGACATGTGAGAGCTTGGTCCACCAGGCTGTTGCTTGCAGGGGCCCGCAGGCCCACATATCCACCACAGCCCGGTTGGGCTGGAACTTCTTGAAGAAGTGTCTAGTGTTTTTATTTAAGACTTCACCACAACTGTTACAGCCCCCCCCCCCCCTCGTACAACCACTAAGTTGTTCAGTGACTGTCCACCAACCTCCAATTATCACTAATTGTTAATTGAGAGCTAACGTGCCGTTCCAATTATCACCAATTTGCTGCACAGCAAATTGGTTCCGGAAGAATTGTCAGTCAAAACAATGTTTGTCAAAATGGGTCTTGGTCCCCCTTCCCCCCGGCGTCATTTTATAGGCTTAGGCAATCGCCACAATCTCTTCTCTTGGCCGCCACAATCTCTTCTCTTGGCCGCCACAATCTCTTCTCTTGGCCGCCACAATCTCTTCTCTTGGCCGCCACAATCTCTTCTCTTGGCCGCCACAATCTGTGGGCCGCCTCGCCGGTGAGCTGTGGTGGCTTCTGTGTGTGACTAACCCGTGATGTCATTTCCTGCTGCCAGAACAGGTTAGGCCATATTGGCTGTGGTAACTTCGTTAGACCTGATCTGGTATGGGGATCCTTGTGGGTTATCGGTCGGCATAATCGCATCGCAAGGAGGGAGGCCCAGGGTTCGAGTCTTAGCTCGCTGTATTCCCCCTCTGTGGTTCCGGAAATAGAGAGGCGAGTGTTAAACGATTCGAAGTGTGTTTTGTGGGGAAAATCTGGCGTTTGATAACCCGTAATTGCTGGTTTCACTTCCTGGCCACTGGCTTAAATCAATAAGTAAAGCAAATGATATCTCGAGAAGTTACACTGAAATTAATTAAAACTTGTAGTATAAACACGCTCATCTTTTCTCTGTACTCACTCACTCACTCCTTTCACCATCCAGCCTATCTGTCCCATACTGGTACAACTTTCTTTAGGGAATATATGCATAGATACACGAATATAATCACATGCATAGATACATTACACATGAATACACGTAAATATATGTAGGCAATAAATACACTTTGTCGGTTAACTGAATTAAAACTACACACAAAGCAATAGATAATTGGGGTTCACTTGGCAACCCGCCAGAAATGGTGACTCGCAAGAGACGACCTTCACTCAGTCACCAATGACCTTCGATAGAGACGGCTGCGTTCCTTCCCTCCCTCCCCGCATGCCTCGATCTATAAGGTTTCCCAACGTCAAGAAACTGTCGTGCTAAAGCGCCCCCTTATCCTCGCCTACTAGAGGATCCCCAAAACAGAAAACGGAACAGTGTGTCAATTTCGCAAGCCGCTTTCATTTTCTAGTACGACAAAATTTAGCCTTTGGTAGGCAAATGTAACCTTCTAGACTCTAGTTTTAACACTATGCAAGTTTTTTTTTTTAGTACCTCGCATATAAAGAGGGACGTAGAGCAGAGAGCTGTAAACATAACCCAAAGGTTCGATGAATATTATGCTTGTACAACGCCATATGCTGACCTCGGAGTTAGAGCCAGAGAAATGATCTATCAACCAGCCTCTGACACAATCTCTGCCAAAATGATACCTAACTTGGCTGGTTGCCAACCTCTTCCTCTCGCTCGTGTTATCTCCTGATATGTTGCCTTTGGTACTTGACCTTGACCTTGACCTTGGCGGCTTCCGCCACTTTGCTCTCAGTGTATCAAGTCATCCACTGGGGGGGGGGGGGGCATGGTTAAAATCTCCCATGATTAGAAAGTTGGCTCTCTTTCTGCGAGCTGCTGCTGCTGCTGCCCCCATGTAGGGTTGTGTTATCTTGTTTAAGATTCAGCTACTGGGAACAAAAAAGTTTCAAGTAGCACGGGCTATGATAAGCCCGTAGTGGACTTACCTGGCACAGGAGCAGCAAGTAGCACGGGCTATGGTGAGCCCGTAGTGGACTTACCTAGCACAGGAGCGGGGCAAGTAGCACGGGCTATGGTGAGCCCGTAGTGGACTTACCTAGCACAGGAGCGGGGCTGTAACTGAAGGTTGTTGTTGTTGTTTGAGATTTAGCTACTCAAAACGAAGTGTCCATGTAGCACGGGCTATGGTGAGCCCGTAAACACTTTAACTGATGAGTTGTGATTGATTGATAAAGATTAAGCCACCCAATAGGTGGCACGGGCATGAATAGCCCGTAAGGATGGGTTGTGTTATCTGCATGGGTTTTATATAGTCTTGTATGGGCCTTGAGTTTGCTGGTGGATTTTATGCCTGCAATGTTACTTCTATCCCTTGAAGTAGACGCAGTTTTTACACAAATATCTTTAAAGTTCCATTCGCAGTTGTTCAGTAGCGACGTACCGCCTCCATCTGCTTCTTGCCACCTGGCTCTAAATATGAACAACACACCACGCGGGTCCTGTCAGTGCTAACGTCACCTTGTGTAACCTTGTTAAGGTGTATCGTCACCCTTAATTGATTCCTCTCAACACTGACGTTTCACAGGGTACTACTTCATGACCCACTGCTCGAAATAACTCTTAAATGCTCACATTTATAATCACAAGTTGAGTTTCACTTGTATGTAGGCAGCTGTATGGAGTATACAGTATCGAGTGTGACCTAGAAAGTTGCGGTTTACAGAACTAGGGTCAAGGTTGTGTTGGAGGTCGTGTATATAAGGTATACGTACGTATGTACACTATGTATGTATACTATGTATATATACTATGTATGGACGTACTGTATGTACACAGCATGCGAGGACTCAGTGTATGAGACAGTGATTTGGCCGCAGACGGTTGGCAACTAATTTTTTGTTTTATTAACGTGAGACTGGCCAAGAACCACATTTAGCCCTGTGCTGCAAGTTGGCTGCCACTTTGCTTGCCTGTAGGTTTATAATCATAAAAAAACACAAGTTACTCTTTTCCTGAGAACTAAAACCCCCCCCAAGACATTTTTTTGTATTAGTAAGCAGACACTTTATTTATTGTTATTTTGTTAAATGGTCAAGTTAATTTATGCAGTAGGGCATATTGTAACATAAAGAACATTACATGCTAGAACCAGCGATGATCTTCCATTGGAACGATTGACTAAAGAGGATGTTTTATTCCACGAGTAAAGAGCTTCACGCTGCCCTTATTAATTAAGCTGGAATGTTGAGTGTGTGGTGGAGTGTGAGGAATGTGGCAAGATGTGGTGCTTAATATTCCAGACCATGACGGTGTACTCACCTAATTGTGCTTGCGGGGGTTGCGCTCTGGCTCCTTGGTCCAGCCTCTCAACTGATGTATAGATTTCTGAGCCTGCTGGACTCTTACCATAACTCCTGTCTCAAACATTGCGTCTTTCTCTCATTATATGGCCCCTTTTACTTGCCATTGTGAACGTTGGAACCTTGCTGAGCTCTGTACTCCCTCAAGTACTCTGTTCTATGCTCGTACCCACCTAAATGTGCTTGCAAAGGAAGGGAATTGTCGGGAAAATGCCAAGCCATGACGACTATATAGCACTGGGAAGGGGTCAGGATAAGGATTTGGGATGGGACGGGGAGGGAAGGAATGGTGCCCAACCACTTGTGGACGGTCGGGGATTGAACGCCGACCTGCATGCAACAAGACCGTCGCTCTACCGTCCAGCCCGTCCTTGCGATCGTGCCTAGTTCAATACTGCTTATCGAGTTAGCTTGAATAACTTCGTCTTAACTTATCAACTTATTACAATGTACACTTATTACAAAACTTATTTTCTTACAATGTACCTGTAAACATTTTTCAATTTTGCTAGAAATTACCTACTTAAAATTATCTGTTATATTATGCCCACCCTACCCATCAACATTGGTGTTCCTCAGGGCAGCATACTTGGCCCTCTCCTCTTTCTCATCTACATTAATGACCTTTCAAATGCCTCCCAACACCTCAAACCAATTCTATTTGCTGACGACACAACCTTCATTTACTCCAGTCCTGACCACCTTGCTCTAAATGTCAGTGAATACTGAGCTAAATAAAGTCCATCTTTGGTTAACTGCCAACAAACTCACCATCAATATTGACAAAACTTTCTATATTTTGTTTGGCAATAAATCCTCAAATCAAATAAATCTTAGGATTAACAGTACCCAAATTTGTAACAAAGTAGATGGCAAATTCCTTGGCGTTCTCATTGACCGCAAGCTGAATTTCCAGGGACACATTCTAAATACATCTAAAAAAGTTTCAAAAACTGTTGGCATTCTTTCTAAGATCAGATATTATGTACCTCGCCCTGCCCTGGTGACACTATTATTCTCTCATCTATCCTTATCTCAATTATGGTATTTGTGCTTGGGGTTCTACTACCCAAAATCATTTATGTCCTCTAATTACTCAACACAAAGCTGCTATTAGGACAATATCCAACTCTGGCCCCAGACATCACTCGGTACCCTTACTCAAATCTCTGAATATGTTAGATATTAAGTCCCTGCACATTCTCTCATGTGTGTTTTATATATATAAAACGCTGAACTGTAATGTCAATCCTGGCCTTAAAAGCTTCCTAGAAGGTTGTAACAGATCCCATGAGCACCACACCAGAAACAAATACCTATTTGATATTCCAAGAGTACAACTTAGTCAAACTTGAAATGCCTTACAAATCAAGGGACCTCGAATGTGGAATGACCTTCCCAATTATGTTAAAGACTGTACCTCTCCCAACCAGTTTAAGATAAAAACTAAGTACTACCTAATTAACTCCCTGTAACCTACCTCACCCCCAAAATGTCAACCCATGTCTACTATTTTAAACAATGCTGTTTGTTGACCAAATTGTTATTTTTGCTTTTTTATTCTCCAAATTTTTGCTTTTTTTCTGCCATGTTTCCCCCGCCTTTTTTTCCATTTTTTTCTTATTTTTTCTCAACACAATTTATACTTTAATCTCAATTAGTATTAAGTTTTAGTCTTAGTGGTTTTTCCTGCCTGAAACGCTTTGCGTAATAGTGGCTTTAGGCATTGTATGTACTACCTTTATCTATAAATCCATCAACTTTTGTATCTTATCTTGTATGTATGTACTTTACCTGAATAAATATTTTTATTTGTATTTGTATGGACCTGCCTGAAACGCTATGCATGTTAGTGGCTTTACAAGAATGTAAAAGCATCAATGCTATGTACTCACATAAACCTAATGTACCTTCTTGTATATATAAACATAAATAAATAAATATTGACAGTTCTAACACTGAGCAGTTTGTCTAGATCATTTTACCTAGAGTATTCATTTATGCCCAATATGTTCCGTTGTTCCTAGTTTGGCACATACAGTTGACGTTATTTTCTTTAGGATCCCGGTAGTAGTCTGGTTCGTTCTCAACCCATACTCTGGAATTCCGGGTTCGTATCCCGGGCGGTGAGAGAAATGGTTGGGTGCATTTCCTAACACCTAATAAACCTGTTCACCAATTGCTCACCCTCTTTACTATTAAAAGTAAATCAGTACCTAGGAGTTAGGCTTCTTGTAGGGGTTGCATCCTGGGGGGTGGGGGGAGTCAGTAATTCGACCAAGGGGTGGATCCCGATACAAGCCTAACAGATATATATACATTAGCTGTCTGTCCCCCAATACAGTGCATTCTAATTATGAGTTTGTGTGCTTCTGGCATTAGATTTGGGGTTATGTCTACTCCCAGGTCTTTCTCCTGATCGTACAAGTCTTTGCACTCCTCTTCTTATCCTTATAACTCTGTATTTGGTGGGATTAAATTTTTGAAGCCATTTTTCAGACTGCTTCTGGAGCGTGTCTTGATCTGTTGGTGGGGGTATCAGTCTGTCATGACTTTTCTCATTAGTTTTTCATAGTATGCAGAGACTGATATGAATTAACCAATTTCTTCTGTAAGGTCATTGACATTAGAAACAGGAGGGACCCAAACACCGACCCTTGTGGTACACCACACGTAACCTCTCAGCACGCTGACATCTTTGCTCTCACTGTAAGAATGTTTGAGAACTGCAACATTAAGAACAAGAGGACATGGGGAAACAAAGCTGCCCCCTAACAAAAAAACAAAAATATCAGAGTTCACTTTTGCAAACAAGAGTGGGTGATGGTTGGAACACGTTAAGTGAGAAGGTGGTGGAGGCCAAAATTGTTAGTAGTTTCAAAGCGTTTATGACAGTACTGGGAAGATGCAACACACGAGCATAGCTCTGGTCCTGTAACTACGCTTAGGTACAGCAATTACATGTAGTGCATATCATTATTCCAAGTGAATTCTACTCCTCTGTGGACTCTCCTTTCTGTTTTATCCATGTCAGTATATTGTTCTAGTTCCAAGTGATTTCATGTAAACTACTGTATCAACTTTTTATACTTTTACCATTTTGACAGTTGGTACACATTAGGATGACAAACTAAGCTCTGATGTCTTGCCCAACAGGCCGTATTCCAACAAGTATTACAAGCATTGGGATCGCGGTGTGTATTGCTGCGTGGTGTGTAGAGAAGAGCTCTTCCTCTCTCACACTAAGTATGACTCGGGGTCAGGCTGGCCAGCGTTCTATGATATCATCAGCAAAGACAAGGTCTCTCTTAGACAAGATCTCTCACACGGTAAGTTAGTGCATTGAGCCACTGAACAATAAAAAAAGTGCTTATATGAGCATGTAGGAGTGGCTAATGTGCATCACTCGGGTCAAGTACCATAAAGTCTGGCCAGTAAGATGATAGGCATATATATGGAGGTTACCTAATAGGTCTCCTCTCCTTGACAGTAGCATACAATACCATAATCATCATCAATTGCAAACTAGTACAGTATTTATAACCATCTTGAAATTTAGATATACTATAGGCATAGTGTAATGTAGTTGAATAGCAGAAGCAATAATTTTTAATATCCAGTATGAAAGCATTCTTATTTGTTTCTTTGAATTTTGGGGTTCAGCTGTTATTTGCCTCTAACCTTTGCCATTACTATTACTACTGTATTTTAAAACAAAACAAAAATTTATCCAAAGCACAGGGCATGCTAAAAAATATCAAGCCCCATATTAACAAACTACCCAATTGGCTGACTTGTGTTTATGCATTTTTTATATGGAGGCATAGTTGTGTATTTTGGTTTCTGTTGGTGCCACAGTATCGTTTGTCCAGAATTTACATTACTGTTAGTTTAAGGTAACAAAAAAGCAATGAAATAGAAGTCTTTTATTACTAACTAGCTTGGATACCCGGCATTGCTCAGGTGATGGAAGCCACATCTTCATTACATGCTCATCACTGCCACATCTTCATTACTCACAACTAGTATACATGACCATCATCAATGTTACCATCATCACTAGACACCACCCACCCATGCTGCAGCAAGGTTTCACTTGATTATGGGTACTCTGAACATTTAATCATCATGTAGAGAATATGCTGCGTAAAGCTTAGTGATGATGGAGTCAGATATTTAGCGAGATTCTAATTTGGTATCATTTGCCATTAAAAGCAAAGGGTGGGGGGGGGGAAATGGGGTCTGACCCCAAACAACCACCTTTCATCCTGCAATGTTTGGTATTGCATCAAGCATCTGACCTTCGATTTACAAATGATAGGTAATTATTTTTTTATACATAATGAACCAGAAGCTTTATTTGTGACAACTTGTACAAATCATTACAATAATGGCTAGACTTAAGTGGGTATAGAGCTGCCTAAATCAAACTTATATATTTTGTATAAAGTGAGTAACATTTAGCTTATATTGTAATTTGAAAGGTGATATTTATTGAAAGAACAAAGTGTAGTTTACCACTCACTAGAACAGTAAGACAGATATTGGCACAATTTATATCAAAATTAAAACGATTAGAAGACAATTCAAAGAACTAATATACAGTACACTAATCATACCATGAATTTATAGAACATTTTCCACACCCTCTGCATTCTACCTCGACAAAGTCTGGTGCTATCCTAAATCAAAAATCACTCCAAACACACAGCTCATACAACATAGATTTGACTTCAGTTAGACTCAAAATACTTTTCAGTACCATACATATTACTTCATGGAAAAAATTAATTAATATTACATATACATTGTGAATAATCCATTGTTTTTAGTAGAGGGTTCTGGGCTGAGGCTTGTCATACTTGTGGGGTGAAAAGATCTTCCAGATGACAAAGCTTGGGAACCCCTGACCTACATTTTAAACATGCATGTAGCAATTCCTTAAACTCGTGACATGCATAATAATTGTGTTGTTTCAGTTGGTGCCAACCTGCTGCTGCTGGTGTGCAACCCATCGCTGGCAAGGACGGAGGTTGCATGTGCCACCTGTGGAGCGCACATTGGCCACGTGTTTGATGATGGGCCCAAGCCTACAGGGCAACGCTTCTGCGTCAACTCTTCGTCACTTGCCTTCAAACCTCAGGGACCTGTTGATGAAAACTCGACTCCTAATTTAGAAAGAATGGTTTGTATTAAAGTACAGTATAAATATACATAACACTTTTTTACATGATTTAAATACTAATTAAAGATAGTGTTTTATAGTAATTTATATAGAGCAAATTGTCACATTGAAGCTTTCAAGTTAACAGAAACTAGGTAAAAATTATCTAAATCTTCAGAAAACTGTTTAGTTCCAAAATTGCTTAACAAATTAAATGGGAACAATATAGTCTATGATCATAGGTTAAGTGCCCTTGTCTAATGTTTATATTTTGAATATTCGTTATATCTTGCATAACCTCCAAATTGCTTTGATAAATTAGGTCAGTAAAAAGTAAGGGTGAACATTGCAAGTATAAAAATCTTAAAGCCATTATTTTGCTTACTGGGCAAACTATATGACTGGATAATAATTAATAGAGTATAAAATAGATAATGTGCTGGACAAGGTGTGTTCTGTGGTGGAAGTTGTATGTACATGCATTTAGACAATTGAGGAAAACATGTGATGAAGATTGCTAGACGTTTGTGACGGTTATGTGTTTGGAAAACACACATGACGGTGACTAGAGAAGGAATCTGGAGTGTGTATGTAGTTGACAATATGTTTTGAAGAATATTTATTCAGGAAGCAGTGCATATATTAGAGTTGATAGTGTAGTGAGTGTCTAGATTAAAACCAATGTAAGATACCTGCTTGATGGGATTCTGGGAGTTCTTCTACTCCCCAAGCCCGGCCTGAGCCCAGGCTTGACTTGTGAGAGCTTGGTCCATCAGGCTGTTGCTTAGAGCGGCCCGCAGGCCCACATATCCACCACAGCCCGGTTGCTCCAGCACTTCTTGCAGAAAATTATCTAGTTTTCTCTTGAAGATGTCCACGGTTGTTCCGGCAATATAAACAGGGTTTGTATAATGTTGTCGTGGATGTTCCGTGCATCCTGTAGGTTCTGCAGTTCAGTGATCTATGTCACCCAATTCAGTCAAGGATCTCTTGGCTGATCTGGTAGGACAGAAATAGTTGGGCAAGTTTTTCCATGTGATTCCTCTGTTCACATAGCAGTAAATGGGTACCTAATAAGCTAGGCAGCTGTTGTGGTTTTTCTTTAGAAAGGTAATTAGTTGACTTAGAGAGCTCTCAATAAGCCTAAATACAGGCTTCCTGTCCTGTTTATGAATTGGGTTATGAGGGAGGTTAATGTAGAATGTTCAATTAAAAATATATGTTAGCAGTCCCAGTGGCACAGTGGCAAGACTTCCCTGCACTTTGCGCGCGATTTGGCCTGGATTCGTATCCTGGTTGGGGAGGATTGACTAGGTGCCAATCCTTAACTGTATGCCTTTGTTCACCCAGCAGTGAATAGGTTCCTGGTTGTTAAACGATTTGGTGTGTCATATTCCAGGGAATGTTAAGATTAAGGACCTTCCTGAAGCACTATGCGTGCTAGTGGCTTTACAAGAAGGTAAGAACTCTTGTATATACAGTATAAAATAAAAACTTATGATAGGAATAAATAGTACAAATATGGTTTTCTGTGCAGTTCTTCTAGTAGAGAATGTTAGCCATATAATATAGATTAGTTTAGCGGTTTCTCCTGTTTTTTTTTGTTAGGAGCAGGAAGCCTGTTAAGTTTATCAAGGTTTCCCTAGCAAAATGCCTGACCTCTCCCAGGATGCCACCCCACAACAGTTGCCCAACTCCCGGGTACCTGTTTACTGCTAGACGAACAGAAGCATCAGATGCATGATAATGTGCCCAAACATCTGTCCTGTGCGAGAATCAAATCTTGGTCTTTTGCACTGTGAAACAATGATGCTGAGCACTGCACTACAGTGATTTGATAATGGTCCAGGATGGATCGAAACGTCGTCGTCGTCTTCAATTTCTAGTGTGTGGTTTGGTCAACATTTTTTAGCCACGTTATTGTGACTTTTCATCTGCGATCCTAATAAAGGTATATATATAGTATACCTTCATATACCTTTGGGCCACCCTGTGTATATATAGTATACAATCAATATATATATTTATATATAAAATCTAAGAAAATGTGAAGTAATAGTGGTGACGAGAAAATGAAAATCTGTAAATTAGGGTGAATGTAGGAATGTTGGGAATGACTGATCAGCATAATTATTGGGAGGCATAATTAAGTGTTTAGTGCAATCAAAGATGAGTGTAAAGTCAGGGAAGTTAAAATGACTGATGCAATTTATGCCAATAAATTTTATGTAAATTTTTAGAAAACAATAGTGCAACAATATGGATAAAATATAAATGTGAATTCTTGTCGTGAAGAGAGAGAGGACAAAGTTTTTGTAGGTACAGTAGTTGGTGGGCATTTGACACCTATATGCCCAATGCATACTGTGCACCCGATGTGAATAGGTTCACCTAGTGTAAGTATGGTTGCTTGCATAGTGTGTGATGGTAGTGTGCTTAGAGGAGGAACATTGGCGATAGCTTTCATTAGTGTAAAGACACGACAGTTTCATTTATATTATTGTATATGGAAATTCCCCTGATGTAAAAGCTGTAACAATAATGTTTGCATCATTAGTTGCATGTGTGCACATAGTGAGAAAATAATCTTACAGTATGCACACTTTTTATTTTAAATTTACTCGTCTTTATTTTTCAGATGCAGGAAAAAGCGTGGTCAACCTCTGTGTCACGGACAGCAGAACCTATTGTACATCTTGCCTCCCCATCAAACTCGTGTGCCCTTGGAGCTCGCATGTGCTTCAGAGTGTCCAACATGGATGCATGTGAGGCGACCACACCACAATCCTGAGACATGTCAACTGGTCCCGGAGAGGGACTTGAGGCTGTGAGCACTGATGGCACCAGGACACCTTTGAGTGATAATATAGATGCAGTCAGCCATATTACTATTCAAGATCCAGGAAAGTCAGTCAGAGTATCGCAGAAAGCTGTTCCAGAAGCTAGACACACAATTCAAAGAAATAGCGAAGAAACGAGTAAAATGGTAAAGACTAGGAACGACTGGCTTTCTGACACAAGAACGAATAGAGATTCGAGTACAGTACCGTCACACAGTGCAAAAATATCCGCTGCAAGAGAGAGATTTCTTATGGATCAGAAATCGTCCAAAGATTTAGAAAATGTAAAAGCTACTTCTCATGATTACTCGCATGTTCATGGTACAGATGTTACAAAACAATCACAAAATATTAATGAAATTGAAAACCAAAATAACAAGGAAGTTCTAGAGTCTAGAACGTCATCTGAACATAAAACTAACAACAAAATCAACAGGATAAAGTCTAAAGCCATAATGGAAACCAAAAATTCTTGTGTAAATGAGTCTGTGAAAAATTTTAATATTGAAAACCATAAATGTATAAAGAGTGATGTTTGCAAGGAAGTAGATAGTTCCTCTTCATCACGTCCATTACAGGCATTACGTAATATAAAGGCCAGTACTGAAAATGCTAACATTAAAGAAATTGCATCAAATAAAGGTTCAGACTCTATAACCGAAAATAAAAATTTGAAACAAGGAGCCATATACTGTGACTCGAATATAACAGAACAAACCAAGGAGGAAATTATTAATAGTAAGAAAGTTAGACTTTCAAAAGAATCTGAAACCATTTCCAGTAATTCTAAAGGGCTTGTTCCTAATGGCGTTCTTACAAATGGCTGGCCTGATATTAAAAGCTACACTGTGGAACAAAAAATGGAAAACTTACAGAACTTGGATAATAAAATCTATTCTGAGTTATGCACTTCCAGCTCAGATGGAGAGAATTTAAATTTGGAGAGTCCTAATAAACTAGAAAGTGCCCAAGAAGAAAAAGCACTTATTGAAAATATAGTCAAAGAAAAAAGGGACAGTCGGGTGTCAAGATTTGTACGAATGTTCAACAGAAGAGATACAGGTACTACTGAAAGTGGGGAGAGATCCTCGGTTAGGAAAAGCCAGAGCAGAGTATGGGGCATGTGTTTACAGGTACAGAGTCCAAATGTAGAGGGTGAGGCAGATAAAGATTTTCTCCATAAGAGATGTGAAATAGCCAGCATTAAAAGTGAACCCCTCATAGATGGCAGTTTCAGTGACAAGGATTCTAGTTTTGAAGCAAACAGTGACAGGGGTAGATCGTCATCTAGTTTCAATGATATAGAGGCAGCTAGTCAAGAGTCTTTAGATTATATTATTTGTGACAATCGGCATGAAAAGAACAATATTAAATTGACCGCTGAAGAGCAAAATAAGAACTTGTTAAGAAATGGAGGAGGACGTAGATCATTTGACAAGCCTCGGAGAACGGCCAAAAGTCTTGCCAAGAGATCAAACACTTTAGATGATGTAGATGATTACACAAATAAATATTCCAGATCAAGTAAAACCTTACCTGCTACACCTACCTCAGGGGTCACTGGTTTGGGGCAGGATTCAAATGCTAGTCACCCCTTTTATAGAAGATTCTACAGTCACTGCATGATTCTTCCCATGATGAAAAGGAAGAGACAGACGGCAAAGAAGTGTATAGAGCACAAAAACTCTGATACCATAATAGATACTGACCCACAGAGTACGGCAGCTGTGTGTCAACATGAAGATAATGTTGTAAATGTTAATACTGAATTAAAAGAAGTACTGACAGCTAGGGCTTCCATAAAGAGATACGAAGAAATTGAAGACTCGCCCCAAAAAATTCCTGTTATTGATGATCTTCTTGCAGAAATAATGGAGAATGTGACATTAATGGAGCTTGAGGTGAAGCAAGATGAAGAGAAACATGCAAGTATTCAAAGTACTCTAGAAGCTGATATATTCTGTAGTGAGGATCATAGTCTAAGTACTAGCCGAAATACACATACCCGATCTACACCGAGGAGTTGCAGTGAAGGCATGATAGACACAGGAGTTAATGGTGAAAATGAAGGGGCAGTAGAGAGAGCGATAATTAGCAACGATTCTTGGGATGGAGTGCTTGACTCGAGTTTCCTTGAGAACTTTGATCATACTGATGAAAGCAGAATTGCAGGGTCCGTTTCAAAAGTTGGGTCTCTTATCTCAAAATTTGAACAGAATCCTTAAGATGGAAACTAATATTTTAATGATTTATGTAGAGGATTTTGTTTGTGCAGTCTTAAAAAAATTTAAGAACCAGTACTATGAGAGAATCTTGTGAATCTTTAATATTTTTTATATGCCCCAAGGTGTTGGATTTAAATTTAACTTTTTAATACAGAAAAAGTAATTATGTAATACAGTAATTAATATCGTTATTTCTTATTGAAAGAGCACTTTTATTCTGCTGGTACAGTATGCTGAGAATCGTGTTGAAATTATGAAATCATTAATTTCGTATCATGACTTATACTGTACTTTCAACATTAGTACAAGAAAATGTAGATTCAATTCAGTACTTAATCAGCTTGAGGTTTTATTTCTCTTCTAAAGACAGAATAGCAGCGTGAGGAGCTCGTGTATGCAGAACATTTAGAGGACTCGTCCTATCTATTGCTTTGACTGTCCTCATTATTAAGTGTGAAGACAACTATGGTGTACCACCATAATACAGGATAATCAGTGCTTTTCAGTTTTTTTTGCTAGTCATGCGTCCAGATAACTGTAGTTGTGAAGACGGCTGGTGTTTGTAGATAATGTAAATATGCATCTTGATTTTAATGCAGCTTGCTGGCTGGAGAAAATTCAAATTTGTTATTATAGGAAAATTTAAGTACAGTACAGCAGTTAACTACCAAATTACTGATAAATGTAGAGAAATCATGATGTACAGCATAGTATTATACCGTAATTCATCTGCGACTCGGCTTTACTGCCACACAGTGCAAGCTGAACTAAAATGAAAATGTTATGTTGCAGATGTTTTGAGCATTCCTTTACCAGTACATACAGTATATTTATTAATGAAACCCAAAAAGTGTGTTTTTTGGGTTTTTTGTTTTGTTTGTTTTTGTAAATTACAGTTGGTTCCAACATTGAAATTTGATCACATCTACTGTGATCAAATAACTAACCAAACCTATCCTAACCAAACATAGCTAAGTCAGTAATTCATGTTCTTAATAAAGTAATATTAATTGGAATAAACAAATTTGAAAAGAAATACTGTATTTGAAAATAACAAAAATCACTCTGCATGTAAGGCAAAGCATCTTCCTTAAATACTACGCCAAGTAGTGCAGTTCTGGTTATTAGGTACGATAAATATATAATTACATTCACAGCACTGTATAATTTTTACTACCAGGCACTGTATGTATAAAATGTGCCACTCAGAATAATGATTTGCTATACAATGTGTACTGTACATAAAACTTAATTTTTTTTTTTTTTAGACTGTTTAAGCATAACACACACACCCACTTTCCATATGACAATATTATATACAGTATTGTTATACAGTACAGATGAAATGTCAATAGAAATACTAGGGCTGTCATGTGAACAAATTAAAGAAAAATGTCAACAAAAATTAGGTATAAAGTACAGGATATCTATCTATATCTATCTATATCTATCTATATCTATCTATCTATATCTCTCTATCTATATCTCTATATATATATATATATATATATATATATATATATATATATATATATATATATATATATATATATATATATATATATATCTATATCTCACTCTCACTCTCACTCTCACTCACTCACTCACTCACTCACTCACTCACTCACTCACTCACTCACTCACTCACTCACTCACTCACTCACTCACTCACTCACTCACTCACTCTCTCACTCTCTCACATATCAAAGGTTTTAAAGCATGGTAAACAAAATAATTCTTATGTACAGTATAACTGATTTGTTATAATTAATTCTGTATGCCTCGTGCTGAAAAATAACTAAACTATACTACTGTATGTATATTCAAATTATAATAATATATATATATATATATATATATATATATATATATATATATATGCCTATATATCCTGCTTCCTTCCCAGCCTGCCTCCTTCCCAGCCTGCCTCCTTCCCAGCCTGCCTCCTTCCCAGCCTGCCTCCTTCCCAGCCTGCTTCCTCCCAGCCTGCCTCCTTCCCAGCCTGCCTGCCTGCCTCCTTCCCAGCCTGCCTCCTTCCCAGCCTGCCTGCTTCCTTCCCAGCCTGCCTCCTTCCCAGCCTGCCCTCCTTCCCAGCCTGCCAGCCTGCTTCCTTCCCAGCCTGCCTCCTTCCCAGCCTGCCTCCTTCCAAGCCTGCTCCTTCCCAGCCTGCCTCCTTCCCACCTTGGAGAGAATGCAGGCCTGCCTCCTTCCCAGCCTGCCAGCCTGCCTCCCTCCCAGCCTGCCTCCTTCCCAGCCTGCCTCCTTCCCAGCCTGCCTCCTTCCCACCTTGGAGAGAATGCAGGCCTGCCTCCTTCCCAGCCTGCCACCCTCCCAGCCTGCCTCCTTCCCAGCCTGCCTCCTTCCCAGCCTGCCAGCCTGCCTCCTTCCCAGCCTGCCAGCCTGCCTCCTTCCCAGCCTTGTATATATATATATACATACATACATATACACACATACATGCATGCAATTGACGATCACAAACAAAGGTGTTGACAAAGGTTTTAACAGGCTGAAACGTTCACTTCCTTTATACAGTGGCACCTCGATTAACGAGTTTAATCCGTTCCGGCACGGAGCTCGTCATATGGAAAACTCATCTTGCAAAACAACAACACAACTGTCGTAAAAGATGTGCAAGAACCAGCGAAAACGCTCGTTAATCGAGGAAAAGCTAGTTAGTAGAGACAAATGTTCTGCGAGTGGCTCGCTCGTTACTCAAAATGCTCGTAGATAGAGCCGCTCGTTAATCGAGGTGCCACTGTATATACATATATATATATATATACCAGTACAGTAATAATAAAATATTTTTTAGGCAAAAAATATAATTTTTGTATTTACAAATGATTTTTTCATCTTGAAACTTTCACCCATTGACAACTACCTTAAATAAGAAAATATTAGTTCACTGTACTGTATTGTACACGTAGAACTTACCTGTGTGTTGAAACATTTCAGGTAAAACAGGTTCATGAATTACGGAGCTGACATTTTTCACCATGGGCATAGTGCATCAAATGGTAAGACTGTCATTCAGTCTGTCAGGTTGAGCATCATAGGCACTGGCCAGGAAGTTAATGGGTGACTGCATTGGCAGCTTCATACTTTGGGTAGGGAGATGCAGATATGCATCCTGTCCCTGACAATAGTGTAATGTTTTGAAATATAGACTACAACACCTCTGTGGGTCAGGGCAGGCAAGAACCAACCGCTCCTACACGGTTGCGCCCGACCACTTGGGTTGGACGGTCGAGCGACGGTCTCGCTTTGTGCAGGTCGGCATTCAATTCCCGACCGTCCAAGTGGTTGGACACCATCCTTCCTCCCCCGTCCCAACCCAAATCCTTATCATAACCTCTTGCAAGTGATATATAGTCGTAATGGCTTGGTACTTTTCCCTGATAATTCCCTTGCTCTTACAAGGTTGAACTGCTGGCCATCCAAGAGATGTAATTAAGCAGCAATAGTAAAGGAGTTTACCTCTGCCACTTGAGAGCTACATGAATAGTGATGAAAATAAACAAGAACATACCATTACATTATGCATGAACTTACATTCTCACAGGCAATACTTTATTATTATTATTATAGGTAATATCTTATTCTTATAGGTTATACTGTATTATGCAATCCTTGTTATCACCAATCATCATTTATTGCTTTTGTTTTTATCACAGTTCATATTATTTTGCTTCTATCTGTTTCACAGTGATGTGTACATTGAATTTTAATGCAGCAGTTTTGAAGAGAAGAGAAGAGTTCATTTAAACATACTGTACTGTATAATACGATGAAGGCTAAAGCATATTAGTTTGAAATATTCTTATCTTGGCACATTAGGAGAAAAGGTTAAGTCATCATAAACTTTCCTCCCTTTTAGATAAACATTGTCAACATCCCTCCATCACTTGATATGAAAAAAAAGTGTTAAATGTGATGAAACCCATCTTTCTGGCGAGTATCTTCTGTATCTCTCCAATCTACCCACCTGGAGTCCTCCAAATCCAGTACTACACCAGGCTGTAATGAATCAAGAGTGCTAGAATTGGGCCCACTTAAGAGACAAAAGGGAGTAGAGATACTAGATCAACCACGTAAGCAAAGAAATCCACTGGATGAGTAGGACACTGAAACAACCAACTCATTGGACAATATTTGCAATGCTAATTTAAATCATATACACACACTTTGTTGAGGCCCAAGCACTAGTTAGCTCAGCACCCTCATCTCCAGATAATAGCCCCAGCAACCCAGGGGTGTGAATTGTTCATGTACTGACAGACGTTAGTTTGTGTATTTATGTATGTAGGTTAGATTAGCATTTTAAAAGCACTACTATCACCTGTGATTGTTCAATGAATCACTGAACTACTGTATATGTTTAACAGATCTCTAACACTACTTGGAGGGGCAGAATAAAATGTGTATATGCTGGTTAGTATTGTAAATGTGTGGCCACATTTGTGGTAGAAAATAATAATAAACTGCCCAGCAAGAAGTCCCTGGACACCACGGGAAGAAGGGAATGGTGATATAGAGAAGAAATGTACCACAAACCCATGTCATTACATTTCATGCTGGATTTCTGGGAGGGCTCCAATCTGTATTTCGCCTTACTGTTTCATCACGGAAAGGAAAACAGCAGGGCGGATCGAACTGGGAAAGGAACAGATCCAGAAGAGACAAACCTGAACAGCTGCCTAGAGCACACAAGTGGACAAGACCTCGACACAGGGGGGAAAAAAAGAACCTAAAGAGTAGAAAGGTGAAAAATACCACCCATTGAGCAAAAAAAAAAAAAAAAAAAAAAAAACCCTGGGCACTTACACTACAAACCAGGGACTGACAAAATACTGTAGTGCTCACATGACCATCCCACTGACCTTGCATTGATTCTAGAAGTGAAGGTTCCCGTGACCCAGTCTTTGACTAGGCCTTCTGGTTGATGATCTGGTCCACCAGGCTACTGGAAACGGCTGCCCACAGCCTGACGTTTTTGAATCAGTCTGGTTGATCAGATATACTTTGGAGGTGTTTAACGAGTTCTCTCTTGATCACTGTGTTCGGTTGGCCAGTTATATCTCTTGTATACAGTGGAAGTTTGTTGAACCGTCTTGGGCCTCTGATGTTGATAGTTCTCAGAGTACTTATTGCACCTGTGCTTTTCAATGGGGGGTATTCTGCAAATCCTGCCATGCCTTCTAGTCTCGTATGATGTTATTTCTATGAGAAGATTGGAACCAGCCCCTCTTTATTATTTTCCATGTGTAAATTATGAATCTCTCCTGCCTGTACTCTGGAGAATACAGATTTAAGCATTTTAGTAGATCCCAATAATTTAGATGGTTTATTTAGTGGATTCTAGCAGTAAAGGATATCTGCATGCTCCCCAGGTCAGCAATTTCTCCAGCTTTGAAAGGGGCTGTTATTGTGCAAAAGTATTCCACTCTATGAGAGCACTAGCGTCTTGAAAAGTATCATCATTGTTATGGCATCTCTTGTTTGAAAGGTTCTTTTTATCCAACCTATCAAATTTCTTGCAGTTGTGACAGCTTCTTTGTGTTCTCTACAGGCAAGATCCTCAGACATGATTACACCAAAGTTCTTTATGTTGCATTTACATTCTATGGTTTGATTTGACCAAGTTTGAACATGGTTTCTGTTTTAATATTTAAATTTTTTCCATAGTGCAAGAACTGGAACATATTTTCATTAAATACCATATTATTTTCTGCGCCCATTGAAATACCTGATTTACATCAGTTCAGAGGTTTCCTGCATCCTCTGTTGCCTACTTATAAAAATCCTAGTGTCATCTGCAAAGGATGATATGGTACTATAGTTTGTGTCCTTGCCTATGTCCAATATGAGAGTACTGGAGCAAGCACACTACCCTTGGGGGACTGAGCTCTTCACGGTTGATGGTCCGGACTTTACTTTCTTAACTTACACATTGGGTTCTGTTAGGAAATTGTAGATCCATCTTCCTATTTTTCCAATGATTCCTTTTGAGTGCATTTTGTGCACAATAACACCATGGTCACATTTGTTGAAGGCTTTTGCAAAATCTGTGTACACGCTGACAAATTATGTCAGCGTTTTGTCTGTCTTCCATTTCATCCAAGGCCATGTCATAGTGGTCCAGCAATTG